ATCTTGGCGCGCGCGCCCCACCCAAGGGCTGTTCCTGTCTCCGCGTCACCCTCCCTCTCGAGCGGGGTCCGTCTAGAGAGCAGGTGGCAGGGATGCCCGCGAGGGGCGGGGGCGGCGCTGCTGGCGGGGGATGCGGGGGTGTCCTGGCGCAGGCGCCAACGATTAGGGGCTTGCACCGCGCGCCACAGAGCGGACCGCGAAGATCTCGGCCGTCCTCCCCGGCTAGCGAGCCCCTGAAGGCGAGCCGGGTTCGCAGAGTACACCCGGAGGAGACTGGGACAGCGCTCCCGGCCGGCGCGTGCGCACACGGTCAGGCCTGGCCGCTGGGACCGAAGCCGTGGACTAACGGGGCCTTCGGCTCTCCCGGATGGGGCCTAAGGGTGGAGCCGCGTTTAGGGAAGTGACCCAGGCGGGCACCGCCCGGAAACCACCCCGTCCCCTGTGTTCGGCCCGAGGGCTGCGAGAGCCGAAGGTTGTGTAACTTGCCCAGGCCTGCAGCGCAGGGGGCCGATAAGGTCGTCGGCCCAGGCAATTCCATTGGGTTGAGGCCTTCCGAGGTGCAGCTGCCGCTGGGTACGAGGTTTTTTTTCGGGGAGGGGGCTGACTCTAGCCGATCTGCTTTCACCGCCTACTCCGGAAGCGGCTCAATCACGTGGCCGGCTTCCTCTGCAGTTCCGGGAGCGGGGGCAGATTTCACCGTGGACCGTCACTCCCTCTCCTGGCTAGGGTGTCCCCCAACACGACCTATAAGTTTAAAGAGCTCTCAGAGACTGTGGGCACTTGAATTTGGACCGCTGACTCTTATCAGCGACTTGGGGGCCTGCATTTTCCCGTGTAGGGCCTTAATTAGGGGTTTGTTGTTGCTTTGGTTTGGGGAGACCCCAGCAGAGAAGGGAATACCTTGTGTAATAACTGCTTGGAACCGTGCTGATGGGCTTGCTAGAACAGTTGAGCACCGTTGGTGGGTCCTGGTTCTATAGAGATGACTAAGATCTGGGTCCCTTTCTGCTATACGTGAAGTTCTGAGTCAGCACTTTATGCAAAAGCTGAGACTGCGTAGAAAACGGGGTCAGTAGTCTGTCGGTTCTTTTAATTCTGGACTCACATCTTGGCCAAGGCTCTGCTTCTCACAGGTCTTGGATCTCTAGCCTGCAGGATGTCGGGTGGAGAGGAATGCTGTTGAATTATGTGATCAAAGGTCCCTTTTTCTTTGGCTGCTATTCTGGGATTGTGTCACATCTGATCCTTTGATGGTGACCTGGGTGGGAAAATAGTGCCACTAGTCCTGGGAAGGGGATTAGTAGTAACCTCTTGGGGCTGAGGACTTTGCTTTGTTGGCCTTTAGACAGATCTCCTAAGAAAGCAAAAGAGGGACTTCAGGGCATGTCCCGGGAACTCTCCTTACGAGGTGCGTGTGGCTCATCCTCTAGGCCTCCGGTGTGGCTGTCTCTGATGGGGTCATCAAAGTGTTCAACGACATGAAAGTGCGTAAGTCCTCAACACCAGAGGAAGTGAAGAAGCGCAAGAAGGCGGTGCTCTTCTGCCTGAGTGAGGACAAGAAGAACATCATCCTGGAGGAGGGCAAGGAGATCCTGGTGGGTGATGTGGGCCAGACGGTAGACGACCCTTATGCCACCTTTGTCAAGATGCTGCCAGACAAGGACTGCCGCTACGCCCTCTATGATGCAACCTACGAGACCAAGGAGAGCAAGAAGGAGGACCTGGTGTTCATCTTCTGGTGAGCTCCTCTTGCAGGCACTTTCCCCTTTCACCTGCTCTATCTCTGCCCCACCCCCCTTTCCCAGGACAGGAAGGTCTGTGGCTCCGGCTTAATCCAGACGCCTGTGTGTCAGAGGAGGGTGTTGTAATAAAAAAAAAAAAAACTTGTCAATGAGGAACCTGATGAAAGCGTGAGTGCTCGGGCCCAGCTCGGGGGTTTCTGGAAGTTGTTGATTGCCTGAGGGCACTTGCTGGGTTTGGAGGCGAGTTCTCTTGATTCTGTTTTCTTGCAGGGCCCCTGAGTGTGCACCCCTTAAGAGCAAAATGATCTACGCCAGCTCCAAGGACGCCATCAAGAAGAAGCTGACGGGTAAGGGCCAGCACTGCTGGTGCCATATGCCCTTGTGCTCGGGCCTTGGTTGCTGGGTGGGGTGAATGGCATGGCCCAGGAGATCCCTGCCTGCTGGAAGGGAGCCTGGTTCCCTCCATCTGTTCAGACTGGCTCCTTCCCAACCACAGCACCCCCCACCCCCACCCTTCCTGCTCACAGATGCTCCCCCTTCTTCCCCACAGGGATCAAGCATGAATTACAAGCAAACTGCTACGAAGAGGTCAAGGACCGCTGCACCCTTGCAGAGAAGCTGGGGGGCAGCGCCGTCATCTCCCTGGAGGGCAAGCCTTTGTGAGCCCCCTCCAGCCCCCTGCCTGGAGCATCTGGCAGCCCCAGACCTGCCCACGGGGGTTGCAGGCTGCCCCCTTCCTGCCAGACCGGAGGGGCTGGGGGGATCCCAGCAGGGGGAGGGCAGTCCCTTCACCCCAGTTGCCAAACAGCCCCCCCCACCCCCTGGACCTTCCTCTCCCTCCACCCCTGACGGTTCTGGCCTTCCCAAACCGCTTTTGATCTTGATTCCTCTTGGGTTGAAACAGACCAAGTTCCCCCCCCCAGGAACCCCTGTTTGGGGGGGGCCTGTATTTTTTTTAACGACACCCCAGTCCCCCACCTGTTCCTCCCCTTTCCCATGCTGCCAACTTCTAACCGCAATAGTGACTCTGTGCTTGTCTGTTTAGTTCTGTGTATAAATGGAATGTTGTGGAGATGACCCCTCCCTGCGCCGCCTGCTTCCCCTCCCCCCTTTCCTCTGGTCACAGCCACTCATGGAAGCAGGACCAGTAAGGGACCTTCAATTAAAAAAAAAAAAGAAAAACCACAATAAAAAGGCTCACTAATGGGATGTTTGTTTCAAGGTTGGGGACCTTGTGCGGGAGGCAGGGTGGGAGAATGAGCAGCATCTCCTCTGTACCCACCTCTACAGCCCCCACACACCCTCATTTGACCCCTGTGACTGGCTGAGGCTCCTTTTCTGACAGTTCCCATTCTTCATTTTATAGCTGGCACCAGGCTGGCTGGCTAGGAGGTAGCTCAGCCAGGGTGTGTCTGCTACTGCCTGCAGGGGTCCCTTGAACAGAGGGGCTTCATGCCTGAACTGACTGCTTCTGTTGCCTTGATCCAGGTGGGCAACACGATGGTGAGGCCTGTCCTCTTATTCCCCATGCAGCCTTCCCAGATGTGGGCCTTGAGACTGCAAGTCACTGGTTGCCTCTTGAGCTTGTTCTCCGCCTTCAGTAGTTGCTCTTTGCTCTGCCTTCTCCCCTGGGTAGCTGACTCATTGTTGAGGGGTGGGTCCAGTGGCTGCTGTGAGTCACAAGCCAGGTTGAGCCTTTGGCCTTAAGCATCTGTCTGGGGTCTAGGGTGGGGCTGGCCAGGTGGAGCCCAGGACTTCAGACCAAGGTGTCTTGGGCACCACCTTCCTGGTGTTTAACCAGGAGGGTGTTGGCTGGAGCCTCAAGCCTCTTGCCAACTTTGCTGTGGGCTCTTTCCAGACTACTTTGGGCTTCCACCTGCCCCACAGGTAAAGGTGGAAGTCTTGCCCTAGGGGGTGGTGGTAATGCAGGATTTATACCTCCTCCCCAACCAGCTTCCCCATCAACTAAAAAGCTGCCTGGAATTAAAGATTGTTCCTTGGAACTTGCCAGTATTTCTGAGAGGGAGGCAGGAAGGTGTATTCCATTTTCTAATTAGGAAATGGGTGCAGAGTATTTTTAATAGTTTTATGTGTGGTCTGTGCCAGGGTTTATAAGGGGGTGGTGGCACGCCTTGACTGCTCCTGGGTTCCAAGTTCTGGCTCTTGTCCTTGATACACGGAGCTTCCTGGCACTCTGGAGAGTGGCTGAAGATATTGCAGGGGTGTGCCCCAGGGGGATGTACCTGGTGGGCCCCGGAACTGGAATGTCACAACAAGCAAGCCTCCTTATAAAACCAGGTTTTTTTATTTGTGAGCAGGCTGGAGACAAATGAACTCAAATGGACCAGCAGTGGGTGGAGGCTGTCCCTGTCTCTAGGGAGGGGAGGTCACAGTCCCCGGGCTTCCCCAGGTTGGGGCTCTGCTTAGCTCTGGCCAAGTGTGGTGTCCATGCTGCTCTGACTCCCTCTGGCAGGGCCTGGCACCTTGGGGCAGGGGTGGGGCTTGCCCTGAGAAGGCATAGTAAGTGGCTCCTAGGGCTGGAAGGCAGCCTGTCTGGAGTGGGAGATCTGGGGGCTTTTGGTAGCTCTAAGGCTCCCCCTTGAGGATGACAAGGGTGCTCCAGAGAAGCAGGGTGCTGGCCTGTTGAGTTCATGATGTCTCCCTGCTGTTGCCCCACCTTGAATGACTCCTCTGTCCGCAGCCCTGTCCTACTGTTCACTGAAGCCTTGCTACTGATGAGAAGGGAAGGGTCCTGGTCAAAATGGAGAGCCCTGGCCCTGCCCTGGGGTGCTCGTGCCAGCCAACTCCCCCCACCCCCACCAGCTCCACCTCTGCTCCCAAGTGCCAAGAAACTAGAGACCCAGGGTGGGAGGCCAGGAAGGCAGCAAGAGGGCTCCGCGAGGCTGGAGGGCTCACCTTGGCGTGTTTGAGCTCCAGCTGGCCCAGCCCAGTGGGGTTCTCATGGAAGGAAGACCCATGGGATGTGAAGTCCACGAGCTCTGGAGAGGAGAGCAATGACGACCCTGGCGGGGTGGCCCGCGCAGCGGCAGGGCTCACGGGGCGCGGGGCTTACCCTGCCTGGCTGAGTCCGAGGGGCACAGGGTGGATGGCTCTCTGTAGCCCACACCTGGTTGGTGGTGCGGGCCCTGTCCAGCTCCTTGTTGGCATTCTTGTAGTCTGCCAGTGCCCGCAGCTGCCAGGACAACAGTCCTGGGGCCGGCAAGGGCACAGGGTCCCTGACCCTCGCCTGCTTGCCCCCCCGGGTGGCTCAGCCCCCTGGCCTCCAGCCCGGAGGTTTGCTCTGGGCCCACCTCTCGCCTTGGCTGCCTGGGAGTCTCGCACGTAGTATCTCAGCATGTCTGACAGCTTCAGGTCCTCGTTAGAGGCCACTTGGCCCTCCAACTCCTGAAGCAAGAAGGTGGAAGCTGGGGACGGAGCTGGCAGAGGGGCTGCTAAGGACAGGGGTGCTGCTGTCCTCTAAATACCCAGCAGGGTCACCTGATATCCACTCTATGTCAAGCACTCATGTTCACGGGAGCAGGCCAGTGAAGGCTTCACAAAGCAGTTGGCCTCAGACCTAGATCTCAGGGGTTGAGTAGGGGTTAGACAATAGGCAAAGGCTTTGCAGGTGTGCAAGCCAGGTATGATTTTAGGGAACTCTAAGTTCAGTAGGGCAGTTGGGTGGCAGTGGCCAGAGCATACCAGGCTTAAAATGCAAGCTAGGAACTCTGGGCTTTGTGTCTTGGGCAGTTCCTGGAAGGGACAGGGTCACCGAAGGGCCCTGAGCAGGGAAGAGATGAGGAGCAACGGACATTTTAGAAAGATTGGCACACTCCAGTGACTTTCTTGGCGAAGAGTTCAGGAAGTGTGTCTGGGACAGAATGTTGGCAGCACAGCACAGTGCCAAAGGCACGTGGCACATCCTGGTAAAGGCCTTGCCAAACCCACTTCCCACCTCCTCCCCCATCACCACATGCACACACACTTGAGGCTGGATCCCTGACTTCACTCACACTAAACTAGTGTGGAGAGTGAGCCCAGGGCTTCATCGGGCCCAAGTTATCACTGAAAGATCCCAAAACGATCCTGGAGCCTTCCCCCAGCCCAGGACACTCTTCTGTGCAAAGAATCATGATCACCTTTCAACACAGAAGGCAGTACTCACCCTTAATGTTCAAAGAGCTCTGCCAATTTGAAGAAGCTCCTAGGCAGTGGGGAGGAGTTAGGGCAGGGGTCTTAGCAGGTGCTTAAAGTCTCCCTGCCCTTAGGGGAAATCTCTTTCTCTATCAAAGCCAAACAGGAGCTTCTGCACCCCCGCTAGAGCTGATAGTAGACTTCCACACAGTGACCCCTCATGGACAGACACAGTATTACAGGCATAGAAAGGGGGGAGAGGGGCCAGAGGGAATCCACGTCTTTAGCTGGTTTGACTTCCTGTGATCCCAGACTGCTCAGTGCAGCTGAAATAGGCATGTAATCATCTGCCAGGCTTGCTGGGATAGAGCCTCCCATCAGAGCCCCTTGGCCCACCTGTCAAGCCCCACCACGGGTGTCCCACCTCTCAAGCCCCACCACGGGTGTCTGTGGCCACGGGCAGACACAGGAAATTTCCTCTCTGGGGAGTATGCCACTGGGTAGAGAAGGTAGGGAATCCAGGGCCCCTGGAGTTCTGCATACACTCATGAGTGCATAACTTGGTCTGCCCGCAGATAGGTGTCCTGGATGCAGGCGTGGTACTCCAGCAGGAAGGTCCTCTCATGCTCAAAGAAATCATCCACCTCCTATGGGAGCCAGACAGGACCCACTTACACTGAGCCACCAGAAGCAGAGCAGCTAAGGGCTCCCAAGGGTGGCATGATCTCCCCCAGGCCAGAACCCCCAGTGGCTTCCCTCCCACAGCCACCCAGAGCCTCAGTCCTTGCTGTGGACTTGAGGCCCTGGGTTGAATCCAGAGAAGGGGCCTAGGAGTCACCTTGAGCCCTGACATCCCAGTGATGGAGGGCTTCATCTGCAGACTTCATGATATTCCTCAGAAACCCAAGGTGCTCCTTCCTGTTCTTTCCTCGGACAGTCAGCTGAGACACACATGGGGAGGGGGTCGATGTTGCAGGGGGAGGGCATTAGCACCTCCCACCCCAGGCACATGCCACTCTCAGAGCTGATGAGTTGGAGGCCTGAGCCCACTTAAGAGTCCTGTCCCCCACCCCCAGGGGTGACCCCAGCTCACATCCTGGCTATATTCCAAAAAGACAAAGAAGTTGTGGTCTCGACACAAGGTGGGGTGAGCTGCCAGTTGCTGCAGAGACTTCATGGATCGTAACTGTCTTCTTGAAGATAGCCAGGTATTCCCCACGGAGGACAGCAGGCAGCTCACAGCTCCCTTGCTGGCTCCCATCATCCTGCCCCTTCCCCTCTGCCAGCCCCAGAGTAAGGAGCAGGGTCCCTAAACATTCACAGAGGGTAGTCAGGAGGGAAACCCTGGGCCTCTCAGGTGAGATTGGGCTGGGGCTTTGTCAGGCAGACAAGAAAGGGAGGCAAGGGACTTCCCAGAGGTTAAGAATCTGCCTTGTAATGCAGGGAACGCAGGTTGGATCCCTAGTCAGGAAACTTAAGATTCCCACATTCTGAGGAGCAACTAGCCTGTGCACCACAACTAAGAGTCTGTGTACCAAAACTAAGACCCGACGAAGTCAGATAAATAAGTAAATGTTTAAAAAAAAAAAGAAAGAAAAGGAGGCAGCACTCACGCTTCAAGCTCCTGCTTCATTTTGGCAAACTCTTGCCGTGTGATTGAGCGGTCTTCCTCATCCAGCTTCTGCAGTTTTTCCTTTGAAGCCTCAAAGAGTCTGACTGTGGAGGGGCTGGGGGGATCTGCTCAAAGGAGGACAGAGCTGGGAGACCTCTCATTATCCAGATGGCCGTCACCCGCACCCTGAAGCCTGGCCCTGCCTCCCCACCTCCCCTGAAGGCCCAGGCCGGCTCCCGCTCACAGGGAGACCGGCGTACCCCCTGTTCTCCCAGGCTGGCTCCCCCTCACGGGGAGGCCTGCATACACCTCCCTCGTAGGCATCGTGCAGCCAGATGAACTCCTCATGCTGTCACATGACGGAGAACTCAGTCTGGGTGAAGTGAGGCAGGCAGCTCCGGAAGCCGAGAAGCCTATCTGAAGGGGTCTCCCCTCCCCTGCCCCCCGCAAGTCCTACACCCACCAAGCTTCCTGCGCACCCACTTTTGGGCCACCCCTGTCCCACATGCCAGGTGAGGCCCAAGTTGGGGCTCTCGTGTTCCTGATCACCCTTAGGAGGGTAGACACTTGGGGCCTTGGGAAAAGGCAGTCAGAGACTAGATGAGACGCTCTCTTTCTCAGAGGGGCAGGGGGCGAGAGCCAGGTTGAGAAGCCAGGCCCAAAGGCTCTGTTGGCATCTGCCCACCAGGTGAGCCAGGCTGCTCGGGCTCCTGAAGCTTCCTTCGGCAGCCACCGGAACCACACCCCTGCTCCCGGTGCAATGTCACCTTGGTCTGAACAGTGAATTTCACCTTGTCCCGCTCTGCTCGCTGACGGCATCAGAGATCTCCACCTGCAAGGAGCCGTCTCCCTGCAGGCCCACTGACATGGAGGAGGCCTGTGGGGGACAGGAGGGCCCTGACGTGACTGACCACCACCATCCCCATCCTGGCCGCAGGCTTCCAGTCCTCCTGCAGAGCCACCTCAAAGTGTTATTTCCACCATGGCCTGGGGTCACTGGCTGCACCCCACCACACACACCAAAGATCCTGGTAAGTCACTGCTCAGGGCTTCACAATGATACTTTCCCACCTGGCCATCCTCTGAAGTAGGCAGAATTTGCCCCATTTAAAGGCCCAGAGGCTGCCATCCCCAGAGAGGTGAAATAATGTGGCCTGAACCACACAGTTGCCACGTGGCAGGGCCAGATTGAAACAGTTTTTCAATTCCACATCCCACATGCTTCCTCAGCTACCTGCCCAGCCCTTCCCAGCTGGTTACCTCAGGTACCTCTCACCAGGTGTAAAGACAGTCCCACCCCTTTCTGAGGGGGTCCTGAGACCATTCCATTCACTACATTTAGTGTCAAGAGGCACAGACTTATAGGTCAGGCACTTGTATCTCTCCAAATGAAAAGATCCCTGAGGCACCAAGCTACTAGTTCATTCTTGCACTGAGCTATCTCAATATGCATTTACTGAACACCTGCTCTGTCCATACCACTGGGCCAGGAGGTACTAGAGACAAGGTCAGAAGTCACTCTCGCTCCAAGCACAGCTCACTTCTCACCCTCAGAGGCCTCCCTGTCTCCTCTCATGGGCTTTGGCCTATGTTTAGGACACTGAGGGACCACTCATAGATTAATTTTATCTGGCCCTGAGCTTCATATAACAATGCAGTTACATAGAACACACTCTTTTGTGACCATGTTCTTTAAAATACCCATCTATGTCGTTGAGCATGGTGGTTCTTTTTCATTGCTGTGTGGTGTCCCACTCTATGACCACATCGTGGTTTATCTAGTCTACTGCTGTTGGTGCTCATTTGGATTATTTCCAGTTTGCGGTTATTATAAATAAAGCTACCGTGAACATTCTTGCATATATCTTTTGAGGGACCTAAGTACTCATTTCTGTTGGGTATGAGAACTGCTTGGTCAGAGGGTAGGCATGTGTTTAAAATGCTTTCATAGATGCTGCCAAACAGTTTCCCAAGCTGATTGTTCTAATTTACACTCCCACCAGCAGTGTATGGAAGTTCCAGGTGCCTTTGTCAGTTATATGTGTTGTCAATATCCACAGCTCTATGGGATGTGTTTTCACTCTCATTTTTTTTTTCTCTTTTTTTAATTTATGGAATGCTTCACGAATTTGCGTGTCATCCTTGCACAGGGGCCATGCTAATCTTCTCTGTATTGTTCCAATTTTAGTATATCTGCTGCCAAAGCGAGACTTTTCACTCTCTTAATGGCTTATAATTCTACAAGCTCAACAAACCAATCTTTTCTTTTGTGGTTAAGGATGTTTTTGTACTCTTGAAGAAACACTCCCACCCCAAAGTCATGAAGATATTCTATTTTTTTTTCCAGAAACAGTTTTAGGTCTATGATCCATTTTCATATATTTATATGTAGGTCTATGATCCATTTAATTCATTTTGTATATAGTGTAAACTGTGGGTTGTGATTCATTTCTGCCACATAAATAGCCAGTGGTTTTAGCACTCTTTGTTTAAAAACATTGTATTTGCACTTATCCATCAGAGGGAAGACAAAATGAAAACCACAATTGCAGAAAACTAAGCAATCTGATCACATGGACCACAGCCTTGTTTAACTCAATGAAACTATGAGCCATGCCATGTAGGGCCACCCAAGGTGGACGGGTCATGGTGGAGAGTTCTGACAAAACGTGGTCCACTGGAGAAGGGAATGGTAAACCTCTTCAGTATTCTTGCCTTGAGAACCCCATGAACAGTACGAAAAGGCAAAAAGATAGGACATTGAATGATGAATTCCCCAGGTTGGTAGGTGCCCAATATGCTACTGGAGATCAGTGGAGAAATAACTCCAGAAAGAATGAAGAGACAGAGCCAAAGCAAAAACAACACCCAACTGTGGATGCAACTGGTGATGGAAGCAAGGTCTGAAGCTGTAAAGGGCAATATTGCATAGGAACCTGGAATGTTAGGTCCATGAATCAAGGCAAATTGGAAGTGATCAAACAGGAGATGGCAAGAGTGAAAATCGACAATTTTAGGAATCAGTGAACTAAAATGGACTGGAATGGGTGAATTTAACTCAGATGTTAAATTATATAATTTTTATATTTATAAATTATATAATTTATAAATATATAAATTAAATTATATCTATTACTGTGGGCAAGAATCCCTTAGAAGAAATGGAGTAGCCGTCACAGTCAACAAGAGTCTGAAATGCAGTACTTGGATGCAATCTCAAAAACGACATAATGATCTCTGTTTGTTTCCAAGGCAAACTATTCAGTATCACAGTAGTCCAAGTCTATGCCCTGACCAATAATGCTGAAGAAACTGAAGTTGAATGGTTCTATGAAGACCTACAAGACCTTCTAGAACTAACACCCCAAAAGATGTCTTTTTCATTATAGGAGACTGGAATGCAAAAGTAGGAAGTCAAGGAATACCTGGAGTAACAGGCAAATTTGGCCTTATAGTACAGAATGAAGCAGGGCAAAGGCTAACAGAGTTTTGCCAAGAGAATGCACTGGTCATCGCAAACACCCTCTTCCAACAATACAAGAGAAAACTCTATACATGGACATCACCAGATGATCAATACCAAAATCAGATTGATTATATTCTTTGCAGCCAAAGATGGAGAAGCTCTATACAGTCAGCAAAAACAAGACCAGGAGCTGACTGTAGCTCAGATCATGAACTTCTTATTGCCAAATTCAGACTTAAATTGCAGAAAGTAGGGAAAACCACTAGACCATTCAGGTATGACCTAAATCAAATCCCTTATGAC